AAAAAAAAAAAAAAAAAGAGCACACTCATAACATGGTTCTCATGTGACTTGAAATATTACATTCTTCCTCCTCCATAGCATTTTATGGTGCATATTTAATATCCTCACAACAACCCTGAGAAAAGGAGTACTGAACATTTCTGTTGCCGACATCCATACTCCATCCCCCTTTGTCTGGCATTAGCATTCAGATATCTTCTTGGGGCAGTCTTCTGAGAGGCCCAGCAACCAAGGTGTCCTGCCCTACCCAATCAAAGATGTGTGCCAGGCCAACTTTCCCAGGACTTTAGACTCTTGAAAGGAAAGACAAAGGGGTTTTAAAAAAAAAAAACTGAGGCAATGTATAAATTTCCTTAGTTCCCATCAACTATCATCCTCAGAGTATCCTTAGTTTCCCAGACTTCCTGAGTCCAAATCATTCTTGTTTCTTTTGACAGTTTCAGTTATCCAATGTCCTTTCAACAAAGTTCCATTTTGTTGAAATTCGTGAGAATCTGTATATGTTGCTTATGGAAAACCTTAACTGATACAAACAGATAAGTCAGAAAATAATATCTCAGTCATAAAGGGGTCAGGATAACTGAGCAGCACCAGACAGGAAAAGGGATCCTCATCTCTGCCTTGTAGGTCCAGTACTGTATCTACTATACTAAGAGACATACCCAATCGGACACTCAGTCAGCTTCCATGGCAAGAACATTTTTAGGCCTTCAACACAGAAAGGAATGCTCAGTTTTTCTAGATGCTTCCAGTGCTTGACGCTCAGGACCCAGAGGCTGCAAATTCAAATACTCACTAGGGTTGTGCAGAAAATATGAATGCGTTAAGCAAAAGTTACCCAGAGAGCGCATGTTCGATCTAAAAAGGCAGTCACTATTCAGTTCCAGCCAACTCTGCCATTCAGAAGAGCTGGTTCAGTGGTGCCAAATTCATGAATTTTTTTTTTTAAACCTAGTACTTTTGTGTGTTATTTTTTTAAATGTAAAAACTCCAGATTTTATAAATGCTGGAAACCCATTTTTAAAAATTAAATACCATGTGAGTCAAACAAGAAACAACAATGGGCTGAACAGAACTCAGGCGACTGCCAATTTGTGACCTTCAGTCTAAAAGATGTCTAATTTCAGAGAAGTGTGAGCATAGTTGGGTGTTCTAACACCAGTAATGCTCCTTGTCTGTAACAATCCACTTCATGTATTTAAAGTTGAAAGGAACCTCAAAAAGTCATGTATTTGTCACTGTCTGTGGGTACATATTATTTTACCAAAATGCAAAAAAAAGTATCAAATAGAAGACATCCAGATAGTACCAAAATGAAAATAAATTATTTCTCCCTCTGAATCTACTAAAATATTTCTTTTTAAAAGTCATTTAACTCTTCCTTGCCTTTACACTATCTAAATTTTGTTCAGAGGACTTTGCTTTCCATGGACCTTGAACAGTCTCTAAGAGGAAAAGGAAGAATATTTAAGAAAGTAAGTTTCAAAAGGAAGGGAATGTCTGTTTATCCCAATTCTGTATCTCTACTGACTGCCTAATAACTTTTGATAAATATTTGTCAAATCAGTGAATAAAGAAGGAACTGAAACATAAGTATTGTAAAAAAACAACAACAACAACAATGAAAGTCTGTCTTTTTATAAATTACTATTCCATAAGTGATGAACTCATAAAATAGATAAACTAAGAGACAGTTGTGTGTTTTACCAAGGAGCTCGTCACTTCACAAAAGGAATTCACTTTAAGGTCTCTCTAAATAACTAGATCCCCTGGTTCAGAGTTTCTCAAACTTCAGTCATTCTAGCACATCCTTATAATTCTTGTCACATTTGTATATAAGCTACATAATAAGGTATTTAATATTTTTCTTTAAGACGACCCATTTTTAAAGATATAAAAAAAATCCACTTCAAAAGAAACATGGGCCAGGCTCGGTGGCTCAGCCTGTAATCCTGCGCCTTTGGGAGGCTGAGGTGAGTGGATTGCCTGAGCCCACGGGCTCGAGACCCTCCTGGGCAGGCGAGAACTCATCTCTACAATAAAATCAAAAAATTAGTCGGGTGTGGTAGTATGCGCCTGTAATTCCAGCTACTTGAAAGGCTGAGGTGGAAGGATCGCCGGAGCCCAGCAGGTCGAGGCTGCGGTAGCCGGGAGCGGCCAC